TGTGTGTGTGTGTGTGTGTGTGTGTGTGTGTGTGTGTGTGTGTGTGTATGTCCTTGAGCCTTTTGAGATGGGAAAAAAATAAAGAGAGAAGCTGCACCAGCTGTTGCTCTCCCTGGAGACTACTGGACATCGCTGCGGTAAAGTCAGCAGACACTCAGATCTCCGTGGTCAACTCAGCAGACACTTACATGTTAGTGCACCTATATGCTGACATTCACGGTAAACGCATTTAAACGGCACAGATCGGGAGCGAGCGAAGGACTTTGAAAGTTAGCGGAAAGATTAACGTGAGACAACATCCGGTTTCTTCAGACGAACATCCGGTTTTCAGAATAAGATGCCAACAAAGTATGAATTATATTCACATTAAGTATAAAACATGCTACCTGCATCTCGTGAAGCAAATGTTATTGCCCTTTTGTTCATATAGCAGTACTTTTAAAATAAAAGCGCCCAATACACTACTTTTGAATTCATTATTGAACTTTGCCATAACAATGAGATTAATCGCGATTAAATATTTTAATCGTTACCCAGCACTAATATATATATATATATATATTAGTGCTGGGCACAGTGCTGGGCGCATTAATTAATTAACGCCGACAATTATTTTATAGTGTGTTAATGCATTTTTAAATTTTTTTTATTTTGAAAGTCCGTTGCTCACTGGCAGCGGTGGAGGAATGGAGACTACTGGACATCGCTGCGGTAAAGTCAGCAGACACTCAGATCTCCGTGGTCAACTCAGCAGACACTTACATGTTAGTGCACCTATATGCTGACATTCACGGTAAACCCATTTAAACGGCACAGATCGGGAGCGAGCGAAGGACTTTGTTAGCAGAAAGATTAACGTGAGACAACCGGTTTCTTCAGACGAACATCCGGTTTTCAGAATAAGATGCCAACAAAGTATGAATTATATTCACATTGAGTATAAAACATGCTGCATCTCGTGAGTTAAAGGGGAAATATACCTAAATTGTGGGTAAGTGTCTTTATTCTTTGATCGCTGGGTAACCATCATCACCTCTGAATTACAGCATTATAGTGATGAACAGTAGAGCTGCATTCACATGCTCTGACTGTCATGAAGACAGACATTTTTGGTGAAACGTGCTGAAACATGTTATTCATGTTGCACAGCAGTGGAACGTTTCACACACAGTCACACACTGAGCACAGATAGTGAAGAGATAGAACTGCTGCTGTGTGAAGAGAACACTGCTGCTAACAACAACCTGATGTGTTTAAAGTGTTTACACCAAATGTTATTCACCTTTTGTTCATAGAGCAGTACTTTTAAAATAAAAGTGCGCAATATACTACTTTTGAATTCATTGTTGAACTTTGCCATAACAATGCGATTAATCGCAAAGAATCCATGCGATTAATCGCGATTAAAAATTTTAATCGTTGCCCAGCACAAATATATATATCTATATAGATATAGATGTAGAAAGGAGAGGCCTACTTCAACTAAAAACAAATAAACATCGAACAAAAAGTTCGGAAATTAGTGTTTGGTGTTATACCGTTGAAAAGCCTGTTTATTTACCTTTCAAACGGTGCCCCAATTGTAAGGAACATGCATTTGTAGGATGAGCAGCACAGCTGAGTATGTGGGTTGCGCCCATGAAAAATTTGCCAAATCTTCTCTGCTGGTGTCGGCAACACCTGCACTGGAACCTGAACATGTGGAGGAACGTTATGTTCAGCGATGAGTCCAGATTCTGCCTAAGGAAGTTGGATCGTAGGGTCAAAGTGTGGAGAACACGGGGAGAACGCTATGCTGATTGCTGCACCGATAGAGTAACAGCTCTTGGTGGAGGTAGTGCGGTGGTGTGGGGCGGCATCTCCATCACTGGAGAAACGAGGCTTGTCTTCATTGGAGGCAATCTCAATGCAGAGAGATATGGAGATGACATTCTGCAACCCGTGGCAATCCCATTTCTCCACAGTCTGGGACCGAACTCCATCCTCCAAGATGAAGACGCTCGCCCCCACAGAGCGGTTCATCAGAGACTACCTCCAGAATGTGGGAGTAGAGAGGATGGAATGGCCTGCCAACAGTCCTGACCTCAACCCAAGTGAACACTTGTGGGACCAGCTGAGTGACCAACACAACCACGTTGCGACAAATCCTGCTTGAGGAGTGGAATGCCATCCCACAGCAGTGTGTGAGCAGGCTGGTGACCAGCATGAGGAGGAGGTGCCAGGCTGTTGTGGCTGTGTATGGTTCTTCCACACGCTACTGAGGCTCCTGTTTGTAAAATTGCCAATATGTCTTGTTTCTTCCTTGTTACTGATAGACTTCAATTATCCAATCCACCAAACAACACCAAACAAGAGTTGACAGCAACAGCAGAATAAGCTGTTTGGCATTGGCAGAGAAGATTTGGCAAATTTTTCATGGGCGCAACCCACATACTCAGCTGTGCTGCTCATCCCTAACCCTAACCCTATTACGGAGTTATTACGGAGTTATTACAGAGTTATTACAGAGTTATTACAGAGTTATTACAGAGTTATTACGGTATAACGTTGAAACAGTTGGTGGAGTCAGTAGTTAGTTGTAAACTGACGAAGTGACTTTCTCTGTGTTATAGATAGATAGATAGATGTATACTTTATTCATCCCCAGGGGGAAATTTGTATGTTACAGCAGCAAGACACACCAAGAAGCAAAGTAACAGAGAAACCAAAAATATTAAGTATTAAAAAATGCACAATATATACAATAGAATAACAGAGTAGGACAAATTAAATATCAGAATATAGCATATATAAGATAAAACAACAAAAATGCACAGTATATACAATGAAATAGAATAGTGTTAAATTAACTGACTAGGTGAAAAACAGTGAAAAACAGTAGTGCACAAATTAAAAATAAACCCCAGCAAACGACAGTGTAGCAGTGTGTAGTTATGTGGAGGATGATCTGGCCAGAGGTGATTTATTGTAAAGTGTTATTGCAGAGGGCAGGAATGTTCTCCTGTATCTTTCCTTGTGACAGCAGAGTATTTATTTTTTAAATTTATTTCACAATAAACTAAATCTCTTCGTGTTTTGGACTGTTGGACAAAACGAGACATTTGAAGACATCACCTTGGACTCTACAGGAACTGAGACAGATGTTTTTCAATATTTTACGAAACAGAAAAAGCAATTAGTTGACCCAATTATTCTTTCTTTAGCAACCTTTTTGATCTCTACGAAAATAAAAAATAAACTTCTGTGAGTTTAAAAAGAGTTTTGTGGACAAACATGTTAAACTAACATGTTTGTCCACATGTCTCTAACCTTCATGTTCCAGCCTCCTCTGGTGGAAAACTCTCTGTCAGCTCCACCTGTTCTGACTCCCACCGTCTCTGATAAGATGTCCCGTCCTGTCCCGTCCTGTCCCGTCCAATCACATCGCTCCCTGGTTGTATAAAAGCTCCTCGCTCACACAGACTCAACCCGATCTAGCCATGGCCTTCTTGTGGATCCTCTCCTGTCTCGCCTTCGTTGGCGCCGCCTACGGTGAGACTAAATCTTTGACATCAGAGTAACAGTTGAGGGAGTGAAGCATGCTGCGTAAAGTAGAGAGGCTGAAGTCTGAACAGAGTAAATTATGTCGATGCAGTTAGGGAAGGAAAACACCACGTTTAAATGTTGATGCATGTTATTGAATGATTTATATTAACTGGATGTGAAGTAAAGAAACCGTTGAATAAAAATGGTCCATAGAGTCGAGGGATCATTCTTAAAATCATTAAATTTATACATTCAACATGTTATTAATGCTAAACTTCAATCACTGTTTAATAAATGGTCACAAAATATTAGAAGGCAAACTTACTGAATGATAAAAAAATGTGTTTTTTCCAATAAATGACGTCATCGCAATGTCTCACTATCGTTTTGTGTCGTCAAAAAAACAACTCAAAGGTCACTTACGATCTTTTTCTGTCTGGAGCTTTCAACCATGCCTGGTTTTTGGAAGCGAAGCTCTTCCAGAATGTCAGGATGTTGTTGTTGTAAATGATGTCATGATGATGTCACCAGGTTGCGGCTCTCCCGCCATCGCTCCCGTCATCACTGGTTACTCTCGTATCGTGAACGGTGAGGAGGCGGTGCCTCACTCCTGGCCCTGGCAGGTGTCCCTGCAGGTAAACACACACACACACACACACACACACAGGTTGTGTTAATAAACATGCGATCTCACTCTTGTTGTTCTTGTTGCTTCAGGATTACACCGGCTTCCATTTCTGCGGCGGCTCTCTCATCAATGAGAACTGGGTGGTGACAGCAGCTCATTGCAACGTCAGGTAAGTGCGTCTGTCAGGGAATTATTCAGCAATATTTATATTTATCTTTTAACAAAATGGCCGCCTCATGTGTCCGTCCTTCTCCCCTGCAGGACGTCCCACCACGTGATCCTCGGAGAACACGACCGCTCCTCCAACGCTGAGGACATCCAGGTCATGAAGGTCGGCAAGGTGGGTGACAAACAAACGTCAGCTTCTGGTCTCACCGCAGCAACGTCTACCTGTGTGTGTTCGCCGGTCGTAACGATGTCATTTCCTGTCAGGTGTTCAAGCACCCCCGCTACAACGGCTTCACCATCAACAACGACATCCTGCTCATCAAGCTGGCCAGCCCCGCCCAGATGAACATGCGTACTTCCCCCGTGTGTGTCGCCGAGACCGCGGACAACTTCGCCGGAGGCATGAAGTGCGTCACCAGCGGCTGGGGCCTGACTCGCCACAACGGTGAGACCACCTGACCAATCGGTGGAGAGCAAGGGGCGGGGCTTAGAGAGAGAAGCAGCATGAGGCTTTAACAGTGATGGTTATCAGTAGCAGATAGTCAGAAGGAAGTTCAGGGGGGCTCACTGGGTCTCTATGTGGAACTCTGAATGTCTTTGTGTGTTTTAACACAACATTGAATCACAGCTAAACAATGTAAAAGATCAGAACTCACCTGAAACAAGACACGAGTTTGGTTTGTTGGAGAACTTTTTCTTTTAATTGCTGAAACATATTTCTAAGTCATGACCTAGAAACTTATGCTATTAAATAAGATTGTTTTTACAGTGCAGGTGGACTCAGACCATCCTTAAGTTTCTGATAATCTATTAAAACCAAATTAAGGACTCACCTGTGTTCAGTTGGACCCAGTACATAAAGACCAATCAGTGGGTTTTTAGAGACTTCTGAGACGTCACAAGATCAGCCAACATGATGGAGGAACCACTAAACCCTTTAACCACTAGGGGGCAGCATGCAGCATGTAGACCTCCAGCTCAGACTGTGTCAGTATGAATGTCTGTCTTTGATGTTTGAAGTGTTTGTGCGTTGCAGCTCCTGACACCCCCGCCCTGCTGCAGCAGGCCGCCCTCCCCCTGCTGACCCATGACGAGTGCCGTCGTTTCTGGGGCAGCAAGATCACCAACCTGATGATCTGCGCCGGAGCCTCCGGAGCCTCCTCCTGCATGGTGGGTGGTGCATACGTAAAAACAGATGTAACAGGGTTTGATCCTGATGTTTGTGATGTTTATTTGTTTGTTGTTGTTTTTCAGGGCGACTCTGGCGGTCCTCTGGTCTGTCAGAAGGCCGGAGCCTGGACTCTGGTCGGTATCGTGTCCTGGGGCAGTGGAACCTGCACTCCCACAAGGCCCGGCGTGTACGCCCGCGTCACCGAGCTCCGCGCCTGGATGGATCAGACCATCGCTGCCAACTGAGCATCTCAGACAGTTTAAACCTGATCATCAATAAAACACAGAAACTCTGAAACAGATCTGTTGTTGTCATTTGTAAAGAAAGACATCTTATGAAATCTCTTCTTTCTCTCTGAATGTGTGAGCCGAGTGTAGCATAAAGACTGGACACAGCTAGCCTTTCTCAAAGTTCATCTAAAGTTTATTCATTAATTCATATTTATTTCCTAATTAATTAATAAGCACGTTGACATGTTGTCTTTTCAGGATTACTGACACAAAACACGTTAAATTGACATGACAACTATACATATTTTCCTCAGCAGTCGTTTATTACACACAAAACACATTTTATCCAACAAGTAACAGAAGGAACATCAACATGTTTCCTGTCAGCAGCATCTCAGCCTCAGGTGCGTCGTCAGGTGCGTCTGGGTGGTGGGCAGGCGTGGCCCACCCGGCGGCAGTAGCAGATGGCGTTGAAGAAGCGGCAGTAGCAGGTGTCACAGGGGTCGCAGCAGGGCAGCGGGTAACCCAGACACGACTGCTGGTGGGGGATGCAGCGACGCGGCGACCGCATGGCCCGACCCTGCAGCTGCAAGGCTGCTGACGAGTCCTAAAACAGAGAGATGTGGATGTACTGAAACAGGAAACAGATGAATTCACTGCCGCCGACAGGAAGTTGGAAGCTTCAGGTTTTTGTGCCCTTGAAACTAAGGGTACTTCTCAAGTCTCTTAATTGCATCCCTGTTTCCCTCACTTGTGTCCTTTCCTTGCGTCCTAGTCCCTCCCACCAGGGATGCATGGAGGAAACCATGCAAGGAGAGAGGAAACAAGGAAATATGTTTTAGGAGACATGAGATGTCCTTTCCTCAGGTGCGTCACGTGAAGCGACGTCTGTTTCTGATGACGGTGCTGATGATCACAGCTGATCAGCTGTCAGTCGGCTTTAACAGCTGGAGAGACTTTTGATAAGTTAGTGTGTGTTCACATGATCACTGTACTTAATAACAGTAACTAATAACACTAATAACTAATAAAGACACACAGTGATCACCACTGTAGAGGTGATTCTCTCTGTAGTCTGTTAACAAACTGTCCTGTGTTCTGTTTATAAGCACAGGATCCATTTCTACCGGCGGAATGCGATCGTCTTATTTATGAATTATTTGCGTCTGTACGTTTTGAAATTGTGACGTCATTATTAAATAACCCAGAATATGATTAGTGTTTCTTCTAAATGATAAAACTCATCAAACACTCAGGAATGATGTAAAAAGGGTTTCGTCTCTCAGCTCTCTCTGACTTTAATTGTATTCATAATAAAGTTATTGAGGGAAACATCAGATCATGAAAACACAAATCTTTGTAATAAATGTAGAAAGTTGTTTGTGGTCCTCTTGTTGTTCAGACTACAATGAACATTTATTTAAACCAGATGTTGAATCAGAAACCTAATCAAATATAAACTAGAGTTTATTCTGATCCGTCTTCACTCTGGTGTTAAACTCAGTCAGTCAGTCCGATCGGCTGCAGCGTCCAATCACATGACTGATGAACAATGAGGGGGCGTGTCGGCCGTTAAAACACTTCCTGGAAGTCTGTTCTCGTGGTTCCTCGCTCATGGCTCCTCTGAGGTCCTTCCTCCATCCTCGATCCTCGCTCCTCAGAGCTACATTAGAGCTTTGGGACGGCCGTCAATATGGCGGCGCAGAAACAACTTCCGGTTCAAGCGAGGATCGAGGAGCGAGGAAACGACAATTAAGAGACTTGAGAAGTACCCAAAATCATGAGAGCGTACTGTGTATTTTTAAAGAATCCACACCCACCTCGTCGTAGGACACTGCGTCCATCAGGAAATGATCCTCCATTGAGTCGACAGGTAAGAGGGCGGGGTCATGCACGGAGTCGGGGGCGTGGCTTCTCTCTGCAGGACAGAGAAAACACACCTGCATAGGTTACCGTCCTCCTTCATAACTGCATCTGCTGTTTGTATTCCTAAAGAAATGGCAGCTGCACCAGATCACAGATGATTTGACTCACAATAAGACTTATAAACATGATATCATACAAAGTACACACAGTATACAGTCATATATAGATATATAGATATAAATCACAGTATACAGTTGCTATCACACACAGTGCATCGACGAATAACCTTTCAACAAAGCTGACAAAATGCATCATCCGCCTGTATGCAGATGATACAGTTATATATTATTTATATGTATTTATATATTCAGAGAGAGTGACTAACGGATGATGTGGAAAGAGTTAATAAAATACCCCCAAAAACTGAATCCAAGAATTTTGCTAAAAACAACTTGTTGGTGATGGGGTTAATATATCTACAACCAGGTCTTCTTATTTTGGTGGGGCTCTGTGGAAGCTGCATGAGACCGAGGTCTTCATCAACTCATCTGGTTTGTGGCCAATAAGCAGAACAAAGGCATCTTTAAAGATGAAAGTCTTCATCACTATCTCCTCCTTAAGGCCTTTACCACTTTAATATATTTTTTTGTCTCTGTCATAAGTAGTTTCACGCAGAACACAAATATTAAGTGGTGAAGAAGTGGCGTGATTGTTTAGGTTGATTTTTGTGAGGCTTTCGCATTGCTTTGTTTGTTTGGAACGGACATATTCAACATGTGAACTATAGTGTAGAACACCATGAGAGCTCCGTAATCCAAACCGAGACAGCAAACTTTTTTTCTCCTTTCAACCTTGACAAAGACAGCGCAGACCGGATCAACGCCTTTCTTTCTTACCTTTCACAATAAAAGCACTAGACATATACAGTGCATAACTGTTCATCAGAGAGAACTCAAATTCAATAATTTCACTAAAAGGAAACTCAATACAATTTAGTTTTCGTGCTTTTTCCTGCTAAAGTGCAGCAACATGTGTAAATGTTCGCTTGTTACATGAATACAGTCTTTACAAAATAAACTTCTGTCTTCACAGGAAACAACTTAGTTAGGTTTAGACAACTAAACTATTAAGTTAGGTTGAGACAACAAAACTACTTAGTTAGGTTTAGACAACAGAACTACTTAGTTAGGTTTAGACAACAAAACTACTTAGTTAGGTTGAGACAACAAAACTACGTAGTTAGGTTGAGACAACGAAACTACTTAGTTAGGTTGAGACAACAGAACTACTTAGTTAGGTTTAGACAACAAAACTACTTAGTTAGGTTGAGACAACAAAACTACTTAGTTAGGTTTAGACAACAAAACTACTTAGTTAGGTTGAGACAACAAAACTACGTAGTTAGGTTGAGACAACGAAACTACTTAGTTAGGTTGAGACAACAAAACTACTTAGTTAGGTTTATACAATAAAACTACTTAGTTAGGTTGAGACAACTAAACTACTTAGTTAGGTTGAGACAACAAAACTACTTAGTTAGGTTTAGACAACTAAACTACTTAGTTAGGTTTCGACAACTAAACTACTGAGTTAGGTTTCGACAACTAAACTACTGAGTTAGGTTTCGACAACTAAACTACTTATTTAGGTTTCGACAACTAAACTACTAATTTAGGTTTCGACAACTAAACTACGTAGTTAGGGTTAGACAATTAAACTACGTAGTTAGGTTTAGACAACAAAACTACTGAGTTAGGTTTCGACAACTAAACTACTGAGTTAGGTTTATACAATAAAACTACTTAGTTAGGTTGAGACAACTAAACTACTTAGTTAGGTTTAGACAACAAAACTACTTAGTTAGGTTTCGACAACTAAACTACTTAGTTAGGTTTAGACAACAAAACTACTTAGTTAGGTTTCGACAACTAAACTACTTAGTTAGGTTTATACAATAAAACTACTTAGGTTTCGACAAGTAACCTATTTAGTTAGGTTTCGACAAGTAACCTACTTAGTTAGGTTTCGACAACTAACCTACTTAGTTAGGTTTCGACAACTAAACTACTTAGTTAGGTTTCGACAACTAAACTACTGAGTTAGGTTTCGACAACTAAACTACTTATTTAGGTTTCGACAACTAAACTACTTATTTAGGTTTAGACAACTAAACTACGTAGTTAGGTTTCGACAACAAAACTACTGAGTTAGGTTTCGACAACTAAACTACTGAGTTAGGTTTCGACAACAAAACTACTGAGTTAGGTTTCGACAACTAAACTACTGAGTTAGGTTTCGACAACAAAACTACGTAGTTAGGTTTCGACAACAAAACTACTGAGTTAGGTTTCGACATCAAAACTACTGAGTTAGGTTTCGACAACAAAACTACTGAGTTAGGTTTCGACAACAAAACTACTGAGTTAGGTTTCGACAACAAAACTACTGAGTTAGGTTTCGACAACTAAACTACTGAGTTAGGTTTCGACAACAAAACTACTGAGTTAGGTTTCGACAACTAAACTACTGAGTTAGGTTTCGACAACGAAACTACTTATTTAGGTTTAGACAACGAAACTACTTAGTTAGGTTGAGACAACGAAACTACTTATTTAGGTTGAGACAACGAAACTACTTATTTAGGTTTAGACAACGAAACTACTTATTTAGGTTGAGACAACGAAACTACTTAGTTAGGTTTAGACAACGAAACTACTTAGTTAGGTTTAGACAACGAAACTACTTATTTAGGTTGAGACAACGAAACTACTTAGTTAGGTTTAGACAACGAAACTACTTATTTAGGCTGAGACAACGAAACTACTTAGTTAGGTTTAGACAACGAAACTACTTATTTAGGCTGAGACAACGAAACTACTTAGTTAGGTTGAGACAACGAAACTACTTATTTAGGTTGAGACAACGAAACTACTTATTTAGGGTGAGACAACGAAACTACTTA